ACCATTTCATTCAAGAAAACAGTCCAAAATACACAAACTAAATAAAGGCCTATCATAGCCTTTAATGATGTATTTGCTGAAAATAAATCGCTTACGTTCAAATGAAATGGGCCCCAAATGTTTTGTTAAAAACATGTTTAAAATTTTGTTTTATAGTTACACACTTTAGATTGATAGTTTTATAGTCATGTACATTAAGTATAGCATACTTATGGGGGAAAAGGAGATTGGTTTACATTTGCCAATTCTAAATGCAGAGAAGCAGAAAAGAATGGAAATCATGCAACAATGTTTTACATAGTTCTGATGGCCAGTTAGGGAGGAGGGAAGAAATAGCTATAATTTTTTTTTCTCTCATAAAACTAAATGATTGAGGCAAGTACTTGCCTCAATTTAGCATTCAGATTAATTTATAGATAACCAAGGTGAAGGTTAAAGATAAATCATCAAGATTCCTCAGGCAATATCTGGCATAAAGTGTCTCAGAGAAACTAAACGTGTAAAATCCCTGATTTCATAATGACAGATATGAAGTCCACCAAAAACACTAAATGTTTTTCCTTTGACATCAATGGACATACAAAATGTCAAGATTAAGAGTTAAATCCTGGAATTACCAAGGTTACTTAAGAGGAGCAAAAACCAACAGAAATGTTATATTTCTGCTTTCTGGAGGACTGGAAAGGAAAGCGATTACACAAAGGGACTCTACAAACATGCATGCTCTTTCTACAAAAGCAGCGAGTAATTCATGGACCAGTCAGTGTCATGGTACAGAAAATGGGTGTGAAACCTGGGATCCACTTGATCACAAAATTTTATTTTGAAGGAAGGCGGAGAAAGGTAAAGCCAATTAGCCAGGCAGCTATAACTACAACCTGCTCAGTACTGATGCTCCATCCATGGGCTTTGAGCTGAAAGAGGGAACATTCCATTCTTCCAATGCTGATTTATGGTTCTCCCAAATCTCCTTCATGATAACTTTACAAAAAGACCTTACTTTTTGACCCTTTGTTTTCTCCCCTATAATTCTAATATTATAAAAGCCTTAAACTGTCTGTCTGTCTGTCTGTCTGTCTGTCCATAACGCTTTATTCACGCTCTGAGTGGCTGACTGAAACAGCCAGCGGTAACAGAGCAGACCGAAAGGCGGGGAAAGGGTGAGGGGCCTTGCCCCCCTGTCCTACAGGCAGTGACAATGAAGCCAGGGGGAGAGGGCGAGACCACTGGAGCTGGTCCCCCACCCCTGCTTCTTGGAGGTGGCGGCGGGCTGGGGCCAGGAGTGGGCCCCCTGCCACTGCCATGGCGACTGGCTTCTCCCAACCCTCAGGCCTGCTCCTCCCCCACACCCTCCACATCAGGCCCAGGCCCACTCCTCCTCTCCCCCCACTGCTGCGGCAGGGAAGCAGGAGGAGCAGGCCCAGACGCCTAGCAGCGGGAGGGATGAGATGAGATAAGAAAGAGATGACAGAGTCAGGATGAGATGAGAAAGACAGAACAGAGCTGGGCATCAACACAGGAATGGCACTTCACTCCAAAACTCAGCACAAGCTTGTCCTGCAAGTATTATATGTATGATGAATAGGAGTGGTGACTGGATGGAGCCCTAAAAATGCCATAAGGGGACAACAAGCTCTGACCCATCACCATGGCTTGGGTTGTCTCCCCTCTAGGAAAGAGCGGAGCCAATTATAAGCACTCCCACAAATACCCACCAGATCACCTAAATGCTTTATCAGCACCTCATGATCAACTGTATCAAAGACCACAGAAAGATCAAGCAAGATCAGCAGGGCACAATTTCCCTTGATGATCTCCAAGCAAAGATTGCTGACTGAAGCCACAAGCAAAATCTCTGTGCTATGATCAGGATGAAAGCCAGACTGAAATGGATCCAGGAGTCCAATTTCATTCAGATATACCTGTAGCTATCAGGTCAAATGACCTTCTCAAAAAAGGGAGGCTGGAGACACAGTGATAGTTGGTTAAGATTGTGTGTGTACATATGACCGTGCATAGTGAAGAAAGTATGGTAGGAAGCAGTTCTAACTGCATGCCACAGAAACCACCCAATAGACCTGTTTTTTTAAAATAAAGCAAGAGCAGCAGAGGAATGAGAGACGTAATCTGAATTAAAAAGAATGAAAACCACAGCATTTATCTAAGGTGTAGTCAATAAGGCTGCATAAAACTTAGCAGAGGACAGTATTTGCCCCTTTATAAAAATACAGGCTAGATTCTTCATAGTTAAAATCAGCTGAAGATTGCCTATTGACACGAACAAAGTATATATTTGTAGATAAAAATATATATAAAATGAACTGTTACTATGAATGCAATCTGTTGTTCATTAAAATATATTACAAACAAAGGGTATATTAATGTTTATATACAAATGATGATAGTAGTTTCACATATATTTTCACAAAATTTCTAGCAAAGTTATCCTCCAGCCAAAAAACCCAAACCTTTCCTTAGCTTTGGAATCAAAAAAACTTTTATAACATACCTAAGTGCCACTGTAAATTACTTTTATGCTACAATTAATGTGTTTATAGTGACAAAATGGCAAGAGTGCTACATACATACCCAATTTAAGGTGCTATGAAATTGTAAACCAGCCATAAAAACGTTCCACACAAAATGTAGAAAATGTGTATGGCTGGTTTGTATGGTGCCATAAAGTGACCATGTGACATGTCAGGGGTTTCCCCAGGGCTGGTGTCGACAATCAGCTAATGGCTGACAGGGATGGGACCAGGTGACACTGAGCTGTAGGCACCTAGCTTTCAGCTTCCTGGTGCAAGGGGAACCTGGGCTCCCCCCGCACTAACAGCTAGAAGGGATGTGATTGGGACCTGATCTCTGATCCCAGAATCGTACCTCCTGCCATTCATGTGTGGCAGGGCAGGAGATACAATTGTTAGGACTGGGGACCAGATCCAATGGCACTTTTAAAATGAACACGTTCCAGGGCCTAATACTAACATACGACACCAACCAACTTTTCCTAAGAGGCTCTGGTTCTCTGTGAAGACTCTTTTGTTCTTCCAATATAGAAGGCAACAGAGTATATAGCAACTTTATTTTCTCCCATGTTTTTCTGAAGAAATCTAACTCCACTCTAATTAACACTGTCAGAATTTTACTAGTTCCCTGTCCTGTTTAGATGCATAATTTTAAGATAACAGAATAACTTCCTAGCTCTCAGGACACTTTCAACTACGAGATTACTTTTTGCCACCAGCCCCACAAGTCAGAAAAATGAAAAACAAACAAACCCCAAAACCAAAAACTAGTATTGATAGCTAGAAACATCTCCAAAACACAAAGCTAGATGTAGCCAAAGTCCATCATAGTTATGGTTCAACTAATATTACACATACTATTTTCTAAAGATAAAATTTGACATTAAACATTTTCCACCTCCTTTTACAACATTTTTGTTCTTCTTTACTAGGCATTATAATGTTGTATTAGCAAAATAAATAATAATAAAAAAACCTTATGCTGACACACTTGAAGTACCTAACATTTTCTTATGTTTTCATTTTAATATACTTTATTCTTAAAAACTTTAAAAAGTGAGAATTAGGTCATAATTTATCTAAAATTGAAGAAAAATCTAACATGCTAGCACAAAGAAATGCAGGTGACATATTAAGAGTTTCTATATTTTCAAGCTAAAACATCAGAAGCAAAAGCTATGGACTTGTATTTCATGAGCAATGAAAAATTTAAGTGAAGCATACAACCATGCAAAATATTACTTAAGCCAAAATGTGGGTTTGCTAAATTCTCTTCAAATAAAAAATTAAAAAAAAAAAATCTAAACCCTACATGAACAAGATTGCAAAGAAATTTGAAAAAACTATATTAAAAAAAAGATTTTAAATGCCTGTTAAAACCAGAAAAGTCCTCAATAAAAGGAAAAAGGTCTTACAGTCACACAAAGTTGTGAAACATACCCGCCTTCTACAGAACCTATGAGGCGATCCTCCCTTAGTAATGGATAACACAAAAAATAGGAAGAGAATCATCCACTTACTCAGATAAGTAGCTATTCATATAAAACTGTTTCAAAGGTATAGCAGATATTTCTTATAATTTTCAATGCACACACATTGTTTCAAGTAACCAATTCAACTATTAAAGTCTTATTAAATGAGAACTGTTTTCCAAAAAGTTAATTATTCAAAATCCCTATCTTTTAAATACATCAATAGTTTTAAGCTATAAAATATTTTTAATAATTGAAATACAGTATGCATTAATAAGGCTGCAAGGAACATCTGAACAATACAACATAAAATGCATTTAACAACGGCTATAATTTTTAGACTGAAAATATAAAAATTAAGTGAACTGATAGTATTGCCAAACACTGTAGAAAGCTCCCATGTAATTCTATATGCTTTATTAGTCATTTTAATAATGCCTGGGAGTTTATTATAAAAGTTTATAACCAAAAATTAAAGTACATATTTCATATAATGTAGTTTTATTTAAAGTCATGTTACTACTTTTTATCTACAGGATTTCTCTCTGTTAATCAATTTGTTTAAAAATAATGATGGTTCTGAATAAATCAAATCTGTCTTCAGGCAAAATTCAACTTAGTTATAAGCTACCAAAGTCATAAGACGATAGCAGCATCACGAACCTAATGAGTTATATTAACAGCAAATTCTATTTTGTTTCCTCTATTTTCTACAACAGAAGCTATAACATTCAATTCTTAGACAGGTCATAATTGTTTGTTCCAATTTTTTCCCACCGTATGTCAGCAATATATTTTTATAGAGAGATTATACTGACTTAAATGGGCTAATGTGGATTTAAATGTGGGAAGCAAAGCCCACTATTTATAACCGATTAGTTAACAGGAATGATTTACTCTTCATGAAAGTTATGGTTGAAGTAAAAAATATCATTAGGTATGCCTTACCCTTTGTTCCAGAGCTGACTGGGTCTGCTGTCTCAATAGTGCTTTAAATGGCCCCCCTTCTTTTCCAGCACTTCCACTGCCCATTCCTGAAGAATATTAGAACATAAATAACATCCAAAGAAAAAGTTACAGACCATAATAGCCTGAGGAGTTGTTTTTTTTTTTGTTTTTTTCAAGTGATTCATTAACATAGTCAGCCACCAAAAATCCAGTTTTACCAAATCAAAAACAGTAACTAAGGACCTTACTCCCACTGATACTAAATCCTTTTTTATCCTACTCTGACAGTGTAAATGGGCTTAAAATAGAAGCCTACTACAAATTAAAATAAGGTCCAAGGGGCTTGGCATTGTAACGCTTACACAGCTGCAAATCTTTTTCCTTTCTGATATCCACAGGAGTTTTTGCCATCAACTGCAACAGACATAGGGTCTTACCCATAATACTTCTCTTGTCCATAAGTCCCTTTCTAGTCAAAGTTTCAGTTCATATGAATAAAGAATGAATAAGGATTTCAGGATTCCCTCCAAGTCAAAGATAATCGAATTAGAAGTAGCCCTACGAAGTGGCACCAGCCAACATTTCTGCAATACTGCTTCCTATTGCTTTTTCCATCGGCAGTTAAAACAAAATCAGAATTGCATGCAATTTAAAACATTTACACAGTATAAATATTTCCTTCCCCCCATCACATAAGAAACCAATAGTTTCCACAAAGGTTCACATCTCCTAATGAAGTTAGTACAGGATTGGGACCAAAGAGAGAACTTTGTAAAGGCAAAGGTATAAGAAACATCTCTCTATTGACTAACATTCAACGTTGAAAAAAAATACTATAATTTAGATTTGAATTCTAATTTAAATCTACATAATGATATGTTCACTCATCTGAATTGTTCAGCTCAAAAAGGAACTACTTCTGGGTATTCAGAATAGCCAAATGGCTTTTATTTGCTTGTCAGAAGGCCTTTCCTACTCTGTGTTCATAAAACCCATTGTGGGGGTGAGGAGCAGGGACATGACAGTTCATAAAAACCCAAGGGGCGGATGGACGGACAGGGACAGTAGGGAAGAAGGGGTACAACACAATTTTTCCTTAAATAAATGCAGAGTTCTGCTGAATCCATTTTTTCTGGTGATATTTCATGCATGAAAGCATTCTAGCACTGATGTTTTATATGATAGCCACACACGCTTACATTGGAACTAAATTGTTAACTGAAAATAAGTATCAAGAGTCATACCTTTCCAAATTCTCTCAGATATCAATGAACTCACTAATAAAAATGAAGGACAAACTAAAAAGTTTAAGCACCACGGGTAAGATGATATAAAAGACACACCACAATGCAGATAGCTATGAATAAAGACAACATTTTTAAATGAATATTTTAATATAACAGTACATTGCTAATTTCCCTTTCCCTTCTTTTCTGCAAAATGCAATAAAAGCAAAACAAGAAAGATTGTTTTAAATGCAAACAGGGTGGGGTATTTTTTTTGTTTGTTTAAACAAACTCATGGAGGGATGGAAATGACATTAATGTTTATGTATTAACATAAAATAAATTTAGTCCAAACCTTTTCAAAATGGCAAATGCTAACATGACTAAAATATTATCTATTTATCGGACATTAAATGTTTTTAGCTGTTCTTGGATAAGGAAACAAAGAAAGATTAGTATCTGTATAGTCCCAATAAAAAAAATAAAAATAAATTGAAGGTTATTTTGTATCAAATCTAAAACCAGCATTTTCAAAGGACTATACAATACTAAAAACAGACAGACATGGAATGAAAGAAAATATCTGATATGAAACACACTCTTAAAAAAACAAAAAAACAAAAAACAAAACAAAACAAAACACAAAAAACCCCCACCAAAACAATCAAAACACTATTTGTAGAAAAGCAGTAATATCAAATATGTAATTTAGAAGGACAATCTGATGAGCAGTGTCAGTGAAACGAAAAAGGAGATAGCACAAATAGAAAGTTTGTGTGCAGTAAGATTGAAACAGAGTACAATTAGCTAATTGCTAGGCATTCGATGAAATTTAAACAGAAAAAGGGAATGAACTGCTGAGAAAGGGGGAATATTTATTCCTTCAAAAATAAAGGAACGACATTATAATGAAGGGACTGAAAACTAATACAAATATTGGGTAGTTATCTGATAGCAGGCAGTTCAGTTACCAGTACTGATTGGAGACCTTCTTGAAACAGAAAGAGTTCTTTATGACAAAGTAGGCCATTTATTTCAAATACTAATGTAACTGGAAGGAGGGGGGGAAGCTTGCAGTTATTACAAGTTTCTAGAGGAGAAAAAATAATCATTCTGTAATAGTCATGTAGCCAACAATTTCCAGGGCTTATTTTAGCAAAAGACAAGTTATAGAAGCCTGTGCGTTAGATGCTTCTGCCTGACTAATAATAATGTTCCTTTTATTTTCTTATAAATCAGTTTAAAAAGGCTATTGTAGATTTATCCTACCAGAAGCAGCCAGAAGGAGCTCTTCAGTGAAAGAAACACTTTTCCTCAGAACAACTGGGCTGACATGGCTAGACTGAAGAGGGCTAAGGCTAGACTCCGAGAGGAGGAGACAGGACTTTTTAAGATGTGGGGAACCACGAGAGAGTGTAGGGGAGCTGGGAAACAGGAACATCCTAGGTCCCTGTGGGGAAGGTACTGTGAAAGAAAGTAAGAGAGAAGAGATGTAGATTCAGAGAATGACAAAAGAAACAGAAGGAAAAAAATGAAGGTAAAACAAAAGCAAACCTTTTTTTCAAATGAACAAATACATAATACTAGTACATTAAAAAGCTCCTACAGGCATACAAAAATGAAATGGCAGTAAAGGCACACACCATAATGTGGATGGAAAAGCATGTTATCAAAAATCTGAGTATGAAATAATTAACTTTGTTTTAAATACTATTTAATTTTATTGAAGAGCTCAACTGAATTTTATCCAAAGTTAGAGATTAATTAATTTCCAATAAAATCTAAGAAAAGCCTTTTTAAACAATGTTTAAAAAAAATCTATTTTGACACAACATGTTCTTAGGTTCTCCTATTCAGAGGGGCTGTAAGTTTAAACTCTGGTTTAACCTAAAAATTCTAAATTTTAAGCCTATAAAAATGACAATGTATATAGATATATATTACTCCCACAGAAAAAAGGAGTTCCCATCCCCTCAATTTCCTCCACAAATATATTAGTTCTCTTCTTCCACCCCCAAGTGTTTCCATTTACAAGTGCTAACTTGTAAAAATATGTAATACTTTGTCAGTCCGTTTACAATGGCATGAGAAGCAGCACTAATTACAGCAGGAATTTTCCAATTCCAAACAAAAATCAACTTTTTCAGTGCATCCAGAAATTCCTCTCACTTTTTACCACAGAAAATTTGGTTGACACTATCCAATCTACTCTGTAGTTACAGTGTTTTACTTCATAAAAGAAATGATAATATTTTTCTGGCTTGGAATTGATGTAGACAAGATTAATAAGCAGATCCAAGTTTGTAATCTCTTTATAACTAAGTATTCTGGCCATGACATTCTGGTATCTGTACTTGTTATGTAAGGCCCCCCACTACATGTGTAGATAAAGGTGCAATAGGCTCTAATACACATAATCATGCCTCCTCCCACGCCACACATGCAATGGCAGGAGATGCGATTGTGGGATCCAGTATAAGATCCTACAATTGCCATCCCAGGCTTCCCTTGTACTGACGCTTAGGGGACTCAACAGTGCCAGCTGTGCCCCATATGCAGCCAGGACTGCAAGTCCTATCCACTGCTGGAATACACACCCTCAACTGTGTCCCACACGCACTCCCTACTGGATTGCAACCTCCCAGCCATGGGAAGTGTGGTTGGCACCCTGCAGCTGAGAGACTGCAGCTGCTATGATGTCCCAGCCGTGTGGGGGCACCAACACCTTCAGGGTTGGGAGATCACAGCTGCACCCCACAGATAATGGGACCCAGTCCTAGAGCTACCGGGTGCTGCAGAGGCTATGAGTCTCCAGCAGATGCAGGAATCCCAGCCACAGCTGGGCATAGTGCACCCCTGGGGCTGGGAGTCCAGTCAGCTAACACTGCTGCCAGCTACAGGGGAGACTGCTACAAACGCAAACTAAAGCTGGATAACAACCAGGTACAAAGTTAGTATGCACTTTCAAGGTCTACATTTATAGTTGGTTGGACCCTTTTATGGTGTGACATGTATTTTGTACATGTAGCTGTCTCAGTTCAACTGCACAATTAACCAGTTAATTGTGCAATAGCTGTAACATGTAGAAGAAGCCTAAGGCGGGTACAGTTTCCATTTGAGAAATCAGCTGATGCAGCTGCTTTTCTGAGCAAGAAGAACACAGCATGGTTGAGGAAGCATAGAAGAATATCAAATTTTCCTTCCTCAGCAAGATTGAACAGTTTGCACCTTGAATTTCATAGTTTTTCCATTTTGACAAACTATGAATTTGGGCACCCTTCTCTACAGAAGTATAAATAGCTTTGACAGAGACAATATTATTCAGCAAAAGGCCCAGGAAATGGAAAACATTTATACAGTACATATATACAGTAATATCAAAACAATCTGTAAGGACAACATTCATAATGAAAAATGTAAGACTAGAGCCATATTTTATATACAACACTGTTTTAGACAAAAGTCAGGCAGCTACAGCCAAAAATATAGTTTCATGAATCAGTTTCTTTTTAATAAATCCTTAAAAAAAAAAAAAAAAAAAAAAAAAAAAAAAAAAAAAAAGGCCAACTTTTAACCTCTCCAAAGGATATTTTTTTT